TGAGGACGTATCACATCCGGTTTCGCGGCGACTGCCGCTAATCAAGTGATCTCTCATCAAGCCATTCATTCATTCAGCTTAATTTGTGGTGGTTTATTATATTTCGCACACGTCTGAGGCCATACCGATCACGATGAGACTGCACCTTGACGTGGTGTGATGGCTTGCGTGCTTTCATGACCCCGCGAGCTACACAGGATGACTTTTCACAGCCGTAGATCCAATCATGCCTGAAAGGTCAACGGGTAGAGGCCAGACGAAGGTCAGTCTCATGAGGCTAGCTGCTTGGGCACCTGGCTTCCTTTGACGATCCACTCCCGCTTCTGGAGAGGTCACTCCAGTAAGTAAACACGGCGAGGGGCAGTTTACCGGTCAAAAAACGGGTATGGACGTAGGAGCGGGGAATCTTGGGGTTTCTCCTGACGGTGAGAGAAGTCTTCGCACTTCACTAGTCAGTTGCCAAGCGCCAAAGCTGGGCAGCCCCCAACCAATAAAGTTCTGTCCCGTCCGCTTTCCACTTGTCTCATTGGGTGCATGAGGCTAAGGGCCGACCCCGAAAAGCGGACCATCAACCGGCGCACTAGTGAGCAACACTGAACTGAAATTCAAAGGCCTTGCGTGACAGGTCTCTAGAAGCTCCCACACGGATGCTTCGTTTACGCTCTCGCGTTGGATCTACGTCCCACTACCTTGTGAGACAGACTTGAGTTGAAGGCTCCGGTTAGGGTTTCCAAAGAAAAACCCATTTGTCGGTGTGGGCTATTGCGAAGTATGCCTTACCCAAAAGTCCTAGTTACTCATTTGGAAAACTCTCTATCTCATCTGTCCACTTCCTGTTCTCACTCCCAAGCCTTAGGAAATGTATCCTGTTTGCGCCACCCACGGGTATTAGTCAGCGTTCAACTAATGAGGTCAACCATTCAGAGGCTATCATATTTTTAAAACCGAGATCTTTTCACTTAGCCGCATTTACTGTCCGCACACTATCAGATTGGTCAACAAGCCGCCTTAGCTAGAACCCTTGAAAACTTCCATTTAGATGTATGCTCTGTCTCAGAAACACGCATACAAGACCCTAATTCAATCATCTCCTTCCGTTCTCCTGATCCAACCTGATTCTCACGCTTCACTCTCCGTGTGTCAGGCGATTTGGCATCCGAAGCTCGCGGTTTTACCGGTGTTGGGATTGCGTGTCAAGGCCGAGCGTTCACTTCTCATTCTCACGTATGAACGGAGCATAGTTGGCTTATACTAATACCGTACCTGGCACGGTTTCTTACCAACGGTGATCTTGCCATTGGAACTCTTAGACAAAATCTTTGCTAAATTGGCTTTTTGTATATGTAACGTATCACCATACGCTTTGTTACCATGTAATTTCCAAAGAAGAGTGATTGTGTAGTAGCTGAATGTTCATTCCCTATAGGGAGAATTAAAGCCGCTTGACTTGACTTGATATATATATTCATATATATATCGCGTACGGTGGTCACGATATGCACCATGTAGTACTATTTTTTCAATATGTCTCGTCCTCCGTTCTCTTTTCGATTATCACCTAACTACCCATGTGTAAAAAGCAATAAACAAAGGAGTCTCTACCTAAACATTCGCTGCCCACGTTCGTCTTAGGTGAAGTGACAATCCGGTTACGAGGCGTTTAGTTAAGGCAGCTATAATCGAATAGTTTATGAAAATCCAAAAGAATTTGTCAGACAAGAAATCATGTTGAAAATACAAGTTTGGCCAATTCAAGATGGAGAGTGATAACCTCCTACTGCACAACATTTGGGCGCAAGATCACAATCCTTCATCTTGGGGCGAGTTACTGATCGTTCCCGTTTTCAAGAAAGGATCTCGCAACAATTGTGAAAGCCACTGCAGGATAAGTTTGATCCCGATCGTCACCAAAGTGCTGGTTATACTTCGACGTCTGACGCCTTTAAGAGAGACCAATATCCGTGAACAGCAAGCCGGATTCCAGCCTGGCCGTGGATGTATTGATCAGATTTTTACGTTGTGTCAGCTCCTTGAGCTGCGTTATACTCACCGTCGGCCAACGATCGCGGTATTCCTTGACCTGAAAGGAGCCTTCGACTCAGTTGACCGCGAAGCTGTAATGGGCTGTCTTCTTCGAAAAGGAATGCCCCAGAAGTACGTTAACCTACTGAGGTCACNTTTGGGCGCAAGATCACAATCCTTCATCTTGGGGCGAGTTACTGATCGTTCCCGTTTTCAAGAAAGGATCTCGCAACGATTGCGAAAACCACCACGGGATCAGTTTGATCCCGATCTTCACCAAAGTGCTAGCTTCGGTTACACTTCGACGCCTGACACCTTTAAGAGAGACCAATATCCGTGAACAGCAAGCCGGATTCCGGCCTGGCCGTGGATGTATTGATCAAGATTTTATGTTGCATCAGGTCCTTGAGCTGCATCACACCCACCGTCGGCCAAAGATCGCAGTATTCCTTGACCTGAAAGGAGCCTTCGACTCAGTTGACCGCGAAGCACTGATGGACTCCCTTCTTTGAAAAGGAATGCCCCAGAAGTACGTTAACTTACTGAGGTCACTGTACTCACAGACCTCCGGTCGTGTCAGGGTCTACAACAATCTAAGTAGGCCATTCGTCACCAGCAGTGGCGTTCGTCAAGGATGTCCTCTTTCGCCGTTCCTGTTCAATTTCGTAGTAGACGAAATACTGGAAAACGCACTAAGTGGACTCCAAAGCGTAGGTATTGAATAGGCAGCTGGAGAAAAGCTATGCGATTTGGAGTACGCCGATGACATCGTCTGTCTTTTCGAATGTATGGAGGACGCCCAAAGCTCACTTAATAGATTGACAAGTGCGGTTGCCACATTCGGCACGTGCTTTGCACCTCGAGCAGCATACGCAGGACTGAAACACCTGTGGCGTAGACGCGACGTTTCACTGTAGCTGAAAGGTCGTATATATTGTGCTAGCGTTTGTTCAGTCCTGCTTTATGGTTGTGAGACCTTGAATTTGCGAGTAGAAGATATTCGTCGACTGGAAGTTTTCGATTATCGGTGTTTACGTAGTTTAGCCCATGTTGGATGAAGCGAATGGGTTAATAGCGTGGAAGTAAGCCGTCGTGTGTTTGGGAATCTATCAGGTATAAACCTGCTGGCACACCGAGTTCAGATTAGTGAACTTCGCTGGCTGGGGCACGTATTGCGTATGCCCAGCTGTCTTCTGCCTCACCGCGCTTTATTCGCTGTAGCTAATCCGGGCCGGAGAAAACCACGTGGAGGTCAATAGATGACGTGGGGACGAGGCATGAAGAAATGCACAGAGCCATTACTTAGAGTAGGCGTCCCTCGCCTTCCAGGTTGGGGTCCGAAAGACTCCACAACTAGTTGTTTGGAGACATTGAAGGGTATGGCAGCGAACCGACAGCAGTGGCTTTCTTGTTGTCGTTTCTTACCAGGTCAGAATGCTTGAAGCGGTATGTATGCAGAGTTCGATTGCGTACTCTGTGTTGACCAAAGAGGTTCACTTTCTTCCTCCCTTAAAGTAGGTCCCATCCCTGTCCACCTTAAATTTTACCAATAACCTTATGTATGTTGCGAGTTTGGCAGCAATCAGTGAATTTCCCCTCACTGTATTTCGCTGTACGATGATGATCAGGAAGTCATGTTCAACTGCTGCTTAGTGATTGCTGCAAATAAATACACAATTTGTTTTCGTAGAATATCTCTTAATCAGCTTTTCACTCTATATATTCGTTTCCTTTTTCAGGAATGGTAATACCCTCTGATGTACCCCACGTGGTGCGTTCGATCCGAGGGTGTTTCACTATCAATTTTCAAACAGAAGAATGACAACAAAAATTGCTGCTGTCGCAAATCTTGCACTGCACGCTTTTCAGCAACATGCGGCCCGTGTAACCGTTGTATCTACCGCTGTGCCGACCGCAACAACTCCAACTGGTTCTACTCCAAACTCCGAGCTTGCCACGACTCCTCAATCCAGTCCCCATTCACCCTCCGATGGGAAGGTCACGGCGTCGGATAGTCCTATTCACGCACCACTGTCTAGTCCCTACCCGAATGGGCTGTCTGACGCCTTACAACGCCTGCTAACCTCAGTGCATAATCTAACTCCTAAGGATATCGGTTTCGACATGAGGTGGATATCGGACTCACAAGTGTATGCCGCTCCTGTTGCATATGTGCATATAACAGAAAATGAGGTTTTTTCCATGGGTATTTTCGTCTTGCGACCGGGATCTCGTATTCCTTTACACGACCACCCAGGAATGTATGGAATTTTGCGAGTCATGTATGGCTCACTTCGTTGTCGCAGTTTCACCCCACTCCAGAATCTTGAACCGAACCATCCAGCCTACCCGCGTTCTTCACTAACCGAAGCGTTTCCGGGATCCGGATGGCAATTTCGTGATTTAATTGTCGCTCGCCCGCATCAGGATGTCGTTCTGAATACTGAAAGCTGTGCACAATTGCTTACCCCTGTTGACGGCAATCTGCACGAAGTCACCCCAGTGGATGGACCGGCAGTATTTTTGGACATTTTGGCTCCACCATATGATCATGATCTGGGTACTCGGGAGTGTCGTTTCTACAAGGAGGTGATCCTTCCTGGAAACAATGTGCCTACAAGGGTATTGGATCGTGTGTTGTCGACCGATGCCGGTTCCGATCAGGAGCCGGCAACTACCAACAACCTACAACATCCAGATTCAAATAGTCCTCATCGAATGAATGGTATGGGAGATAGATCCCAGTTAATCTACTTGGTCGAAACAAATCAGCCTAAGGACTATTGGTGCGAGTCCGCTGAGTATGTCGGTCCCAGTGTGGTGTGATGGTGGACAACCCGGTGTTGTGGGCCGTTCTTGATCGGTCCTCTATCGCCCTTTGTTCTCCTTTTGCCATTTTGGAAACCCCTCAAATCCATACCATTTGTTCTAATTAGGTCTCCCTGGCATTTGGTTCTTTCCGATCCCGGCTAATTTCGCTAATTTATCTTGCTTTCTATAACACCGGACACATATTTGTATCTCTCTTTGTCTTATCCTATCAGTACTTCAATCGATCATATTTTCTGTCTCCCTGAATCCTCACAGCGTGTGTATCATTAGTATCATCATTGTCAGAAAGAAAACTAACCACAAGTGGTGACTGCATTGCATATATTTTGCTCTCCATCCGTTCCTCTTTCTCCAGTGACGCATTTGTTCTGTTATTTTCTCTCAGAAGCATTCACTGTTACCTCAGTTCATTTACTCTCCTTATAAACTCGTTCATAGCTTTGCTAGGCAGGGCTGCATTCCGTCAGTGGTTTTCACTGAACATGGTAATACACTGCTGTCATGTTGTTTGTCATCGGGCACACATTACTGCTGCTTCTGCCACCTTATCCTCGCGATGGTTGTCCGTATGGACACATCTAATTTGTCCACCCGCTCACTCACCTCTCAAACCCACACATGTACTCATTCACTCTTCGTGATTTGTTAGTGTGCTTCCATCCCTCATATCTTTGTTTTTTTTCCTTTTTCTAGATCTCTTCTCCTTCACATAACCGCTATGACCTCCATCGTTGAGCCGCCTTGCTTGGTGCGCTCACGCCGCCCCCTTCCGTTGGACTGTGCTCTCTGTCAATCAGTAATCCGTCCCTACTGGTCTGCTTACAATTTGGATTATTCAGTACTAATCAACGGCTTCTGTGTTCATCCCTTTCATCTGGGTCACTCCCGTCTGCATCGAAGTCGCACTTCCCTACTTGTGCTATTTCTGTACTCTTTCATNACTGCATGAGGTCGCATCTCACAAATGGTCTTTTTCAACTTGTACTATACGACAACAAGAACTACTACTACTACCACCACCACTATTATTATTATTATTATTGATAATATTTTGTCAATAGCCACACACTTTGTCCGTTCGTATGTACTTATGCATGTTTTGCGGCAGTCAGTTTCCCCATTTTCAGCACTGCTTTCTTCCGGTTAATCATGTTCATTTCACTTCAGTTAAATTCCATTTTGTTGAACTCTGNTTGGCTTTTCGCAACACAATCAACGAAGTGAATACAACAACTTCGTCCATCAAACAGCATATCCCATAGCCTTAGGAGTCTAATGTAATGCCACGAGAACCGACAACATAAGCTAACCAATTCGTGTGTACATCATGCTAATCTTTTGCTCCAGGAGGACAACAAGTGTCGTTCGTGAGAATAGTAACCTCAACGCGAGCTTCGTCGTTCAGTTTCACCGATTGGTTCGTGAAAACTTAGCCTTGCCGTCTCAGTTCGTTTTTAGTTAACATCTGATTATTGACGTACCACCTGCCATTATGGTACTGAACTAACAACAAAGTATGGTGCAATGCGATTGTGAATTAGTCGCGTAGGGTTCCAGTAGCTGATATAGATCAAGCTAATATGAAAAGCACAATTTCCCCCTAAGCCAAGAGAAGGTTTGCACAGTGTATTCGGGTACACTTCACAGCATCCAGTTGTATACGTGCATGCTACAATTCAAGTGGTCATAAATATATGGTTAGAAACTACTGGAGTTTATACCGAAAAAGATTGCGGTCAATATCACACCAGACCCGCTTGTTGCCAAGGCAATGCCGGAGTGATAAGCCATACCCGCTATGTACACATTGAGGATGGTAATTTTGAACTGTTCATGCCTCGGCGTATTTGAGCAATCTGGTGTTATTTGTATAGTAGTGGATTTTGAATTCGTCGCTCAGCGTGACGCAGTGTCTGGTGATTGATATTGGTCGCTATCTCTCTCTCTCTACTAAGGATCCTGTATTTAGTGATCACTTCAGCTGCACTACGCATGTGTACGAGCAAATGCAGCGAATCGGTCTAGGATAAATGGTCCCAACTTGTGTTTTTGATTTTTTTTGTTTAACCCAGTATTATCGAGTTTCCGTAAGTCGTTATCCTGTCGAGTGCAAACCTGCTTGTACGGTGTTCAATTTACTCATCATCTTGCCCAAAACCAGACCTCATCCTTTGACGTGCCTGACTCCTTTTAATTTACTAGTGGCACTTCCATTGTGCCAGTACGTGTGATAAACCCCTTTTCAAATTTAAATTTTTATTATGGGTAAATCACAAAGCTGATGCTTATTTAATCCCATGGAGTCTGTACACACTGGTTTCGGTTGGTTGCACAACTGAATAGCAAATTCTGACGTTCACTCACGGGTACTCACTAGTTGGTTCAATGCTTCATCCAGTCGTGACTTGAATGAATCGATGGTCGATGCACAAACAACTTGAGGTGGAAGAGAGTTCCAGGTGTTACCAACTCTTAGGCGAAAGAATGACGCCTGCGGTCGAGCCGGCTGTTTTGGAGCAGAAGTTTAAACGGATTTACTCGGAGGTGACCATCCCTGGGTGGTGTTAGCCAAGTACTACACGGGTGGTTAGGTTGATGTAGTATTTGATATACGAGGATCATGTCTCCCCGTATTCGACGAATAGAGTCCGCAGTCTTTCACCGTAGGTCTTAGATTGTAACCCTTTGACCATTTTGGTTGCAGTTCTCTGCGGACGTTCGAGTGCCTTTGGGTCACGAATCAGCCATGGATTCCAAGCCTGTATAGCATACTCGGTGTGTGGTCTAATGTATACTGATAATAAACGGGGCAATAGGTCTGTTTCGAATGATCCGAAAACACGTTTTATCAATCCAACGTGTTTTATAGCTTTCGAAGACGCTCTTGCACAATGTGTGGAACGTCCTAGATCCTCACGAACGATAACTCCCGGATCCTTTTCGTTTGGAGGACGCGGCAATGGCTGAGTTCCAAGCAAGTATGGAAAGCGACCCCTGTGGCGCAGCGATACAACCTTGCATTTTCCAACGTTGAATTCGATGTCATTAATGATTGACCATCGATAAGCTGCGTCGAGAGTTTGCTGCAAGGTTTCATAATCTTCAGGATGTTTTAGCGACCATGTTTTGGCGTCATCAGCGAATAATAATGCCTTTTCTCCAAAGACATCTAGTAAGTCGTTTATGAATGCTAGGAAAAGGTACGGACCGAGTACGGATCCTTGTGGAACTCCACGGACGGCCTCAATCGGTCCCGACAAAGAACCAATAACGCGAACCGATACGGCACATTGTCGAAGAAATTTCTCAATCCAGTAGCAGTCTTCGGACACCGTAATTATGGGGCTTTCGCAGCAATATATGGTGGTTAACCCTGTAAAAAGCCTTGGAGAAGTCTAAGTAGACTACGTTTACTGCTTCTCCTGCGTCGACTGATCTTGTCCATTCATCTCGTACAAGCTGTAGGTTTGTGGTGCACGAGCGTTTCCTTAGAAACCCGTGTTGGGCCGGCGAAAGTATGTTACGCTTCTCGAAATGATCCATCAGAGAATCAGCAACAATCGATTCCATTACTTTTGACAGAACAGGAAGAAGTGTAACTGGACGGTAGTTCGCATGATCACTTCTGCAGCCAGCTTTGTAAATAGGCGAAGTGGTGCCGTTTTCCCAGGATTGAGGGATCTTCGTCTTGTCGAACATTCCTTGGTATATATGGGCAATTACTTCAGATGTGTAATTTGTCAAAGACGTCAGGGTCTGTGGCCGGTTGTTGTCTACCCCTGTAGATAAATTCCGGCGCAGCGCCAATAGTTTATTTTTAACCGTTTCAGATTTGAACCTGACGGTGGTCAGTTGGGGGTATGGGGCACTTGATAGAAGGTGTGGAAGCTGTAATCCGCTTTTCTTACCAGCAGTGAACACTTCGTCGAACTGGACTTTTAGGAATTCGGCTGCTTCAGAAGTAGTAGTGAAAACGCGTCCTTCATGCCTTAGTGCCGGTATTCTATATTTCGCTTTTCTGGTAGCATTGATATGCTTATACAGTAGCTTTGGATTGGTAATAAATTTGTGCCAGAGTTTCTTGAAACCTCTCGCACTAATTTTACACAAAAGTTTCTCAACATGGTATAGTTATCCCGTGTCCGCGGTCGGACATCTGAATTCTCGCCAGGAGATTCCTCTATGACACCCATTTCTTGGTTCGACTACGGATAGGTGACAATCGTGTAGGCAACGTACCGACAGGCTTAGTTTTTGTGGCGACGGTTAAGAGTTCTGTTAGTGTTTCAATGGATCTTTTCCAGGACTTCAGTGGATCTAGCTGCTCTTCTGTTTGTCCATTGTCAGTAGCAAGGTTCAGCAATTCATTGTAGTCTTTAAAGGCGCGTTTGTTGATTTTCAGGTGTATTTCTATTGAGGCGTGGAAAATGTGATCAAAAACCAGAACTGCATGGTCCCTTTGTCCTAATGGAGACATTATTTCGACCATAAGCTCCTCGCTTGTCAATAACAATTCCAATGTTGATGGATGGTGGCCTGTTCCAAATCTGGAGGGATCCGTCACGTGATTATACATCGGATGTGAGTCTATAAACTGTGATAAGTTTTTCTTGAAAGGGTGGTGATAGTTCTGGCTTTTTATAAAATTGGGACAATTGAAGTCTCCCGTAATGAGAACGTGAGTGCACTTTACGGATACAGCGTTTCTCATAGTCTGCAAGAGTGCCTCGTTAGCTAAGTCTGAGGATGCAGGAGGGCGGTAGACTACACCGATCAAACAATTGCTATCTTTGGACAGCCTCATTGTGCACCAAAGTGTGTCGGGGGTTGAATTGAAGAGATCGAGTGGTTCACATTGAAGATTGCTGCGGAAATATAGCAGCAAACCGCCACCTCATGTAAAACGATCACGCCTCAACAGCGACATTCCGAGTAGGTGCAATTCAGAATCAAGAATATCTGCGGTCTACCAAGTTTCGGTAATGGCAACATGA